TTGACGTTGCAGTGGGGATAGAGCATTAACATGTCAAGTTGTATAAACAAGTCTTTAGACTGTGCTACACAGTGCAGAGTGAAATCATTAATCAAGTGAAAAAAATTAAACAACAGAAAATAACAAACTATCATAATACTGAATTAATTAATAAAGTCTTAATAATAATAATAATAATAATAATAATAATAGTAATAATAAACAATAATAGTTTAAAATGTCAATCACCTAAAAACAGGGAAGGGGGCCATGCATATTTAAGAAAGGTGCGAAAAGGAGGGTGTCTCCCCAGGGGGAAATTGTGGGCAGGGGTTCTGGAGCTGATTGGGTACCAAAGGATAGTTCATCATTGACGAAGGACAATGAGACATTTTAGGAGAAGGCGTGACGTAGTCTCCTCCAACATGAGGCAACGCCCTTTTCTGTCCTGCAACAGGAGAGTATCCATTCCATACAACATTATTTGACTGATGAGGAGGAGGAGGAGGGTGATGGGGGATGGGGTACATCTGATTAGGGAACATCCCGTTGCCGTGGTGATGATATCCGGGAGGGGGAGGGGCAGGCTGATGAGAAGGAAAGTCGAACGTCGACATGTGATTGGGGAGCGGCTGTGAAGGAGCAGTGGAAGAGACCGGGGACGAGAGGAGGTTCCCAATCTGAGAGAGAGTAGACGAGGGCAAGTGTTGGAGTGGGCGTGGCTCTAGAGAATAGGGCGTGTCAGGAGAAGTGACGTAGCTATTGTAATGACTAGGACAATGGCCTCTTAAATAGCCTGGTCCTGGGGGGAAGTTAGAAGCAACAGAGTAAGGAGGAGGCGGCGAGACAAGATGATGATTGGAGTTTTGTTGGGGGACTCCTATAGAGTACGGGGAAGTTAGAGGGAGGGACGAGGGAGCAGGGGAGGGAAGAAAAGGGGACGTTACCCTCAGCTCTTTCGCCTTTTCCTGCTTTTCTACGAAATTCATAACTTTTGAAAACTCGTCCAATTCCTTCTTAAGTATTGTATCACTCCCGAAAGTAACGTGTCCCCTACTGGGCGGAGTCCTAGTTGTTCGTTTTGAAGTAACGGGCGGAGACTTTAGAGTGGGTGTCGTCCTTGGGGTCTCGTCCTCCGTCTCTTCTATCGGGATTAAAAGGGGTGTGGCACACATTTTCCCATTCATGATGTCGTATGGATTGAGGGAAAGATCGCCGTCTTCGGAGGCATCGTTTGAGCAGGAAGTGGGCGGGGCTTGTTGAAGGTTCTTTAAAAGTTCTTTTGAGTGACGTCTGATACGTCCTATCCTTGAACCTAAGTAAATATAACAACTTTTAAAAGTATTAAAAGTATTATTATTTTAAAAGTATTTGTAACCGTTATTATACATGTTAGTTAATAATAAAACATACTCAAAATTTCAGTATACATGCATGTACAATCTAGCATTGCAATTGAACAACATCTTTTAGATAATTTATTTTAAACTACAATCCACATATCACATCACCAAAATAACCATAATACATGCCGTACAAGATAATTTATTGGCGGGGAATTAATATTGGCGATTGGCGGTTTTATGAAGAAATTGCCAATATAAAATCCACCATTTTGTTTCAATCTGAGCATGCTCAATGGCACGTGGCACAAAATCGCCAATATAAAATTCGCCAATTTCTTTCCACAGGCAAATTCGCCAAATATTACTCCCACCAATAAATCACCTTGTACGCGTACATGTACATGTACACGTACCTCCGTCCTTTGGAGTACTGCTGCCGCTACATGTAGTGGGTGTGGCTTTCTTTAAAGAGCAATCAGAAT